AAGAAAATTGATCGCAAAGGTGGTGCAATCAGGTGGCGCAATCAATTTTATATGATGCAAGGTGGTTGCAACCATCATCAAAACTTGTAGTTAAAATCCATAACACCTATCAGCAAGTCACAACCTTTCCCATTATTATTATGTCTTGTTATGTAATGGTAGATATCTCCCAAGGTCACATTGCACATCAGTAGTTAATGGTATGACTATTTTTCTATAGTTTCTTGAAATCTATTATAGACCTAAGCAATCATTTATCAAATCGTAACTGGTGATATGCCACCCACATTCATCATTATTATTATGAAAATGCTTTAATACGTCTACTTTTATCTTGCTATTTTCTCTAGAAGTTTTTGCTACTAATGAAGAACGCTAACACTTTACCATCATTAATCATCATTTTGAACTTACTATTATAACCCGACGATCTGTTCCGTATGTTTTAGCCAATAATAACTATTTATGGAATAATTAAAAAATTAATTACGTTACCATGGTGTAATATGCTTTTTTTGAGAGCCAATCATACTCGAGTTCATCAGAGAAAATCTTGATCACATAAAATCAACTAAAATATCCATCTATATAATTTTTTTTTTTAAAAAAAATTTCTTTTATACCTCAAAACCCTCCAAGACAACTCAAGGAAAGTCAGCAGTTCTTAACCGGCAACCAAACCTTACTTTACGAAAAAACGGGCTTACATTTAAAAAAGATTGCTTGATTTTTGGTTTTAAATTAATTCAAGCTACAATATTCTTTCTCATTCACGTCCTTGATATGCAATGCGCAGATTATTCTGATTCCACTCATCTCCTGCAAGATAGATGCAACGAAATTACAGAGGGATGGAGCTCTGATTTACACACACGATCGTTAGTCCTAGGATTAATTGGTTGATTGCGTGTTTGGTTGCATCCGAGTTCTTTAAAGAACTCGTTGGAGGTCTCTCCTATGCGTTCGAGTCTACCTTCTCATGACCTTTTCATGAGTTGACATCGGGGCTCGTGGTAGTGTGTTAAAGACAATTTATTAAATCCAACACCCAAATTTGATAATATTGAATTTAAAATTTTTTTTAAAAAAACAATCAAAACGGGACTTCGGAGACGACGACGACGACGACGACGACAACTCATCACTAAAACCTTTCCCACTACAAGGTAATAAATAAAACTTTCATACTAATTTTAATAAAATCAAGTTTTAATGCGTTGGGTTTAATATTATTTTTGGAAATAATATACGTCAGGATAGAGACAAGAAGAGACTCGACCAGTAAAACCTTATCGCTACTTTTGGATAACAAGGTAATGGAGTTTTTATCATACATGAGAAATTTCAACAAATATCGAGTTTTATTTTCCCAACTCTTGCTAATTTTCTCATATTTACTTGTTAGGAAATTACGAGCAGGGCTGGCAGCGTAACTTAAATGAGTAGTTGGCTAAACTGACTAGCTACTTAGTCATATGTTAAGTAAAGAAAATTATTGTTGAATTAGGATTTTTAATTCCTATACGCTGCCAGCCCTGATTACGATACGTTTTTATTTATTGCGTTGTCTTAGTATTATTATTACTCGGGATGATGCAATCATTTGTTATAAGTAAAATAACATCAAATAAAATGATACAATAGTGGAGGCAAAAGCAAGTAACAACAGAAAAGACAAGTAAATTTTTATTTATTATTATTAATAATATTATTATTGTTAATATTAATATCTTCAACTTCCATATCTCCTTCTCATTTTTTATTCTTTACTTTACCGATTTCTATCAATTTCCCTCTAGAATTAATTTTTTGTTGGTAGAATTTTTTAAGCAAAGCAAAACACATTTTCCTCCACCAAGTAATTTGTAAATTCACTAAATGAAAGGCTTCCATAGATTTTCAATTTCTTAATCAGTTTTATTCGAATTATTCGTTTTATTTGTTTATTTGAATAGACTTTTAACGTAATTCGAATATTCAAATTCAAATAATTTGTTCGAACCATTAAAGGCGAGATATTATAATAACAATAGTAAATCATAGTAATAATAATCATATTAATAATAACGATAGTAGTAGTAATTATATTAATAATAACGATAGTAGTAGTAATAATAATACCGGAAAGCTTAGTATCTGAAAATTTTTTTCGTGGGATTTATTTAAGTTCTTAGCCAGCTAACATCACTACATGATGACAATAATAGGTATCAATTAATAAAAATTTAAAAGTAATCAAATATACTGTTTAACCGTTAACCATTAATGTTATTACCACCAAAAGAGTTGTTTGTCACGCGCTATTCAGTTCTCCGCCGATGTAATTAAAAAAACACCAAGCCAAATTTTTCCTTATAATGTCTCATTACATATTGTTACCATTAATATCACCAGAAAGAAAGGAATTTGTATTCAAAATTAATAATGAAATTATAATAACACCCTGGTTAATTCTGATAAAGAAAGTAGAAAAGAATATTTTTTTTCATTAGTCAACAAAAACAAGGAGCTTTCTGAAGATGAAAAAGAATATTGTAAAGAAAAGTTTATTTATGATTTTGAATTAAGAAATGCAAGAGGTAAATTAGGCAAACTAAAAGAATGTAACAATTGCAAATTGACAAAATATTCTGATAGATTCTGTGAAGGTTGCATTAGTTTACAATTACAAAGTCTTTTCACTACTTGGACATCTGGAAATAACATAGTTGATAACTTTATTCAACAATGTCAAATGAAATCAACTATATTTTAGAATGGATACCTTTTGAGCAATTTT